TTCTTCTGATGTTTTTCTTCTAATGTTTCTTTGAATGAAAGACTAGAAAATTTTCTCGGTTATGTAGACGGTATCTGTTCTCAGACTACAAAATGACAGAAGCAAACGATAGAGCAAGTATATACTGAAAGTTGAGTTTAATTTTCTGTATAATTCGCTAAACGGGGCCAGATGACAGCAGAACTCATTATCCCCAGCACTACCGTGACCGTTTTGAATTTAAAAGAAGATTATCCCGAGATGAGTTATTGAAATTTAACGGAAACGAGTTATTGAAACCTGTGCTGTCTCAGTAAGGGAGATGCCGTTTCTGATCAACTCGGTCGATGCTTTCAGGAATTTAATGGTCCTTGATTTAAGTGACTTTCTGTGGAGTCTTATAATCTGGAGCTTATAATGACAATCTACGTTGTCAAATCTTCAATGTGAAATGTATTATTATTATTAAGAAAAGTGCGAGGATTATCAATATAAATCATGACAAATCCCGGTTACTTTCTTCATTAACCGCGTGCGTACAAATGAGATATAAAAATAGAGAAATTTTCTAATTAATTTTTCAACAAATTTTCATACGTAAACATTTATTTATTTTGTTATAAAATTTGAAATAAAATATAGAAGGAAATGCTGCAATTTTTAGAACAATTTAGAATTTGTTTAAATAAAAAAATACGCTATCAGTTAATGTTAACAACTTCGGAATAATTTTAATTCGCTTAAAATATTCGATTATCCCTTGATATCTACTTTCAATCGGATATATAATTAAACTTAAACTCTCTTAAAGCTCTTTTTCTATTCGCTCGAACGTTGCACTCGATTTGGCGACTCAGTAAAATGCGAAATCTGTTAACATAGTAGCTATTATTTCACCACGGGGAACAAGACTCCCTTTGTCCAGTTTTCCACCCATAGTCTTTAACTATGCACGAATTCCTCGTTGTTGGACAACTATAGAAAATATTTCCAACGGACATGTCACAACTTTCGTACATTATTCGACACTTTTCTCATTCTCGATAGCTGATGCTTTTAATGGTTTATAAAGCAGGTAGTCTGAGTAAACGCGAATTGATTGAGTTTTGTGGGTTAACAGGCAGTACCCTGTCAAGCCCGCTTCTATATCACGTCGACCAACTCCGATTTTCGACGTTCCCGATTTTCTTCCATCTTGAAACTACTACTAATCGACTATGAATTTAACAGATTGAGACACGACAGTTAACCGACACTCCTCGCCATTTCTTCTAACCCATCCTTCCTTCCACCCACTTTCTTTTCCCGGCTTCCCATCTTGCTCCGGACAGCTTCGGTCGATACTACTATCGCACTTTACTTTCCAGCCCTGGGCTCTTTACCTTTCTTCCTTGCCTTATTCCCACCTTTGGGAATGAAGGCCACTTACTCGAGCTTTTTCTCTTTGACCTACTGCTGGAATCGACACGCAGATCCGTAATCCCTTAGCACGAAACACGATAAGCAGTGAGTTACTCTTTTAAGATTTACGCCACGGACACAGCAGTGATCATTTCGGTTCGGTCAGTCTATTAGATCATATTATATCGTAATCGATTTCGAACTAAGCTCAAGTCTTTGATCTCTTAACGGTTTGTTTATACAATAAAAAAATATAATCGCAATATGACGTTGCTCACGCGAAGTGACCTTTCGCTATCGCACTTGTATCTTTTTATAAACTCGCAGAATGTTAAACTGTAAATGGTTTGAAAAACGATATCATTTTTTAAAACAAAACCTTATGTATTTGAATGAAACAGCTTTGAAAACATAGATGCATCGCGGATATTTTTTATCGCTGTCACGTCATTATTTTTTTTTTAATTTTACAAAGCATCGTACGAATGGATCTATGTATGTTATGCATCGTGGGGAGATTCAATTTCTAGAATAAAAAAAAAACTATGGATAGATACGCAGACAGGACGTTGCATATAGACAGCCGAAATAAATAACAAACCGCGTCGCCGCTGAAAATGACTCTATTCTATTTCCGTATAATACCGAATTTCAGTCTCTTCACGCCTTTTTTTTACTCATCTACTTTTGATCTGCTACCGAGCAGCGGCAAAAGTTCTCACGAGCTGTGGTAACCGACGTATTTGGAGCAGCTCACAACTAGTTCGCGAAAACAGATTGTTAGTTAGTTACTTCACGATACTTTCTGACGAATGCATTTTGATGATGACTTGCAAAGTTGCTTAAAATATGTTCCGACTGTCAAATGATACGGAAATCTTGGAAAGCTCTGAAATAGTTTTATTAAACTCAGACTCATGATAATGATTGAATAAATAAATATAAATATAAATGTCTATAAAAATATAGATAATGAATAAATAATTAATAAAACGGCAAATATACGAATCATACGCAATTGTCAGGGCGCAGAGATAAATTTAATACATAGAAAATTTAATTATATAATATCAAAGTTTTGCCTTACATTTCGAAATAATTTACTTATTAGACTTGTTTAATTATTTTTATCGTGTAAAAGAATGTAAAAAGGGTAATACAAAGTCTGTGAGAGATTGTTTGAAGAAATGAATAATTGATAATTTCCTCCTTTTTTACTCCATATTTTTAGAATCTTTTTTTTTCTTACGATGCAATATAATGAAAAAATGGATATCCGATCTGTATACAGTTGAATGAATGGGGCAAGTAGTCATGTATTATACAAATTTGTCTTTCTTTATTGCACTTAAGGATTATTAATAACTTAATTGTCCTTAATTAAATACGATAACCCATAAATGATTTATTTGTCACATTGTGAAATCATTTCGCTCTCACCGAAATCACTTAAATTTTACTGAATTAAGTATTTCCTAATCGCATGTACGATTCTTCTCGTTTATTAATGAAGGAACGAACTGAATGAAACAACGAACTGAAGGAAGAACCTTATGATCACGAAAAGGTTTTCACTCAGAGAAATAGATAATGTCGCGATTAATCGACTACTTGTTGAAATAACGATAATTCCTTTTAGCGGCAAGACCATCAAGTTTTCGAACTCTCTTCTCACAGCTACGTATAGAGCACGTACATCCTAAATTATGCATAATCTGTACACATGGCGCACTGTGGATTGTATATAAGGGAAACGGACGTGCATCATCTATACAAATGTCCTGTTCCTACATGTATTGTATTTACATTTTATGTCCGCTTGTTTGAAGCATGCTAAATTTGCGATAGTAATTATCTGCATTTGATCCACTAAATACGAGTTAATTTTAACAAGGCTCAATAAGCTCCAGAAATATAAAAAAATATTGTAAGTTTATTCCTGGGATAAAATTACACTTTTCTATAAAATTGAATGCATTCTCCCTGTAAATGGAAGCTCGCATTCATATCTTATTCCTTTCAATTTTAATCTTTACCTTTAATATATTTCTCATATCTTTCATCGCGTGGCGCGAATGCATTTCTATGCTCTGCTGCATGTTGCACATCACTTCAGAAGTAAAATTAGAGACCTCTACGCAGCAAATTTTATAATACACATATTATATGTATGTATCATTAATCATATAATATTTTATATAGCCAGAAAAAAATGCTTTACTCAATAATATACACAAAACATTAACATTTAAATATTTATCAATTCTTAAATTCTTATGTTAAAAAGAAAATTTTGAAGAAATAGACATGTTCTCTCAATTTTTAAATAAGTGTACATTTAGAGATTTTAATATTAAACAAAACCAACTCTCCTATTTTGCATGATAACTTTTTATCTTTGATAAATTTTTTAAACAATATTTATATTAGATGTATCTATATTGTATATGCATGAGATTATTTTGTTTTTAAATTAATTTTGATTATTGTAATGCATATTCAGATGAAATTTTTGTATAATGTTATTGAATAAAAAGATTGAGTTTTGTTTTTTTTTTGCACGATGAAGAATTGACATTTGCATTTGCATTGCAAGCCACTAACATGATAGATTAATAGCATTTATAAAAACTTGGGAAGGAGACGCTGACAGGCTCGATAGAGCCTTTTAGATTCAAACGTCTTCTAAGTAAATTAATGAATCATGTTGTTCTCTTAAGGTTGGAGATTGTAGAAGTAAGTCCGTAGTACATATATCTTGACAAAAGCGACAGTATTGTACAAAATATGTAGAATTAGTTAAAGGGTAGAACGTAGTGCATGCAACGAACTCTAATGTATTTTGCGATTATCTCAAAGTTGCATTTTCAATCTCGCCGATTTATACTGAGATTTTCTAACATTGTAGAAATCGACAATACGAATGAAGAAGAAGTTTTTGATATGCGACTCACGCAGATGGACGTTTTGTAAATGTCTTGCGCTCGGCCTGGCGTAAAATAAGAACAGAAGATGGCGAACGGGAATGACATTTTCCTATTGTCTGATCGCAATCGGAAATTCGGCGAAGCGTGGAATTTGTTGCGAGCGTTGCAAAATTTCCTCAAACGTAACGAACCTGCTCCGATATAATACGGTGACATTAATGTACATAGTAGTAAAGCCAAGTCAATATTTAACAAAACAATTCAGGCACACTGTAAACGTTGTAATTAGTGTGGTCAAACATGATCTTCGCGTCTATGCGATGTATATATACTTTTTGTGCGTAATACAGTCACTCCAATGTCAAAATTATTCCTATGTTTATAATTGTCAAATTTCTTAAGTATATTTCAATGAAACTATACTCGTTTATTGCTCACTAAACATAAATCGCATAACAATACTTACTTGACTGACATAATCAAATACACTTTTTACCGACTAATATATATATATATTCGTGTAAAATTAAGAATTAAAATCTCTTATTGCTTCATGTTCGAAATCGTCTAAAAATTGCATTGCGAAAGAACGCCATGCATTTTTGTTGTAAATTCGACTATGAGATGATCGCACAGTTAAGAGCTAATGCATCGTGCTTCTTCTCATTAACCTGCATCTCTGGTACTGTTCAGGCAAGGTGGACGAGAAAGCGACGCAGCTGCATGCGATAGCGTCACTGAAGGTGCTGCTGGATGCCACTAGGCCGCATAACGGCGCCGCGACGTCGACCGCCGCCCATTACTCCGGCGCATCCTCGAAGGAGACGACTCTGCAGCTGCAGCAGGGCTCGCAAGGCACCACCACTACCACCACGACTACGACGACCACTGCTGGCACCACTGCTGGTATTCAGGAACTTCCGAACGGCGGTATCGCCGCCGGACTCGACGCTGGACTCGATTCGGTAAATATCGAATATAAGAAGCACTTATCACGCCAAAAATCCATGCGACTGTCTATCGATTAATTTTTATTCATCATTTTGATGTCTACAGATATTAGGATTATTAATCTCTAATCCTCAATCAACGACTATAAAAACTTTATCTTTAATAAGTTTTAAAACGTTCTGTTTAAAATACAGAATGTGAATCTCCTTATTGATACGGGAACGTTCAAAATTTGATTATTTACAATTTGAAACTTCATAATACTATAATCGTACAGATTGTACAATCATCTAAAAATTTTTGTTTGGCTTCAAATAACCCGTTACTGTAATCGAGGGTTAGTAAGCAGATGATTTAAAAATTGATAGATGGAATACTCAGACTAATTCAAAAATATTTTTATTTTATAGTTATATTTTTTAATAGTATATTTTAATAGTATTTTTTAATAATTACATTTTTAAATAATATTTTATGTAATTTAATTAATTATTTTTTATAAGAAGAATGTAAAAATATAATGAACTTTAAGAGACTTATAGACATTCGCAATGAGCAAGACTTTTCCTTTTCCAAAACAAAGAAAAAACCCATACTTGGAATGCTATGATTATCCAACTTACTCACTTAAAAGTTAAAACTTCGTATAATGATTTTTACACAATGATTTTTTTTTGTATCTTTCAAAATTTTAATACAGAACTTATATGATTTTGTAAATGTAACGAGAAACAGCGAAAAACGCTAGTTTATGTCTTTTAATAAAATCGATCAATATGTTCCCGAGTTATAAATGATTCTCTTAACTCTTTATTTCTGCAAGTGAAGGAAAGAACCACGTATACGAGTAGAAGAATCTACGATTCGATTCGTTACAGAGTGTACCTCGATTCGAGAGATTGGAATAGTTTCGGCATTTCCCATGCTGCGCGCCGTCGTAAAACAAAGAGGCCGAGAACACGTTGATTGAAATTTGTCGTTCCACTTTTCTTGACAAAACGTTCGATTTGTTGGCAGTGTATCTGTCGTTACATTTCTCGTGACTCGTTTGAATACTTACTATTTTCCGATGATCCCGCAAAAATATTTCAAGAGAAAAATAACTTCCAACCAAGGATAAATTAGTACGATAGACTAATTTTAGGATTAGTATAACTTTGCAATGGCTGTCGCGTTCCTCGGAGCACGCGTTGCAAAAGGGCACGTTAGTTCGATATCGTAACGTTCTACTTTCCATTGTGAAATGTTTGCTTCTATCACGACTTGGGTATCCTGAATTAGAATAGGCAGTTTAATTCCCACAATACTGCGAATCACGCGAAGTAATCTTTTTTAACTTGCACGTCGAACGTTGTTATGGATGTAACATTCTATATTGTATATTTTGAAACTTCTCCACTTTATCGTAGACTTTCACTAGTATAAAACTAGGACGATACAATCTTAAAAGTATTAACATTTTATTTATAAAGAAAAACTAGAATACGTTAAAAGAATCAACATGAAATCAAAATGAATTGATCAAAGTGTGTTAAACAATAATAAAGTAGGATATTAATGTCACAATTAAAATTACGTATTGAAACAAAATTTAAAACAACAATGTTGCTTTCTAGCTGATCAAACATCGTGATCGTAAACGGTCCGCAGAGTAATAAGGATGAGTCCCTAGAGTAATCAAAGTTAGCTTTACGCTCAGAGCCTTAACGCGTAAGAGTATAAATCGGCACAGTGTTCATCCATTAAATCTTATCAGGACAACCGCAATTTTCACCCGCGAACTTGGCGATCATAAATCAAAGTGTCGCTCGATATTTGTCGGTTTCGAACTTTAAAAGTTCATCCAAGGTTATTTCGACTACGTCGAAATCGGTCGCACAGTGTAGCGTCGCACCATTACAAGGATGAAATACGCGAAAGTAAGTTCATACTGCGGCGCATCTCTTTCGCAGAGAAATTCGATCGAATCCAGCGAATCCGCGCGGATCCTGACACGATTGTTGTCAAAAGAAGAAAAACGAAGGTCGATGGTCAATATAAGTTCTTATCTATCATTTTGACGCGTTATTCTCGCAGCGGAAAATTTTTTTGTCATTTTCCCTCGGGGAAAGAACGACTAGCGAACAATCGATACAATGGGAAAGGTAAAACCGCAACGAGCGATATTACTTGTCTGAACTTCCCTATTGTTCATCAGATAATATCGTGTAGGACTCTACCTATCCTGGTGCGGACAGAGATAAATATTCAATAATTCTTCCCGACGACACGTCGCGATAGGAACGCATATATTCGAACACTTCACATTATCTTGGCCTCTAACTTCGACAAACCGTTTTATCGCTCCCCATCTCGCCTTCGATGTCTTTTGCAGTCTTTGAAAGATCCTAAAGTGGCATTGCGAATTATAGACCCGACAACGAATGAATAGAAATCCCATTTTTAAGTCACTTAACACTCAGTTAAGTTTATGATATTTTCAATGTACAAAAAATAATCCACTATTTTTTATGGAATTATTAAATATTTATTGTCAAAATACTGATATAATTCAATCATAAAAGTGATTCCCATTATTTTTCAATATTTTTCCTCATCTTCTAGGCAAGTTATAGATTTCAGTTCGATAGAAATATTGGTCTTCATTTGTGATTCATCAAGCTTTTTTTTATTTCTTTGACAATTTTTTTTTTATTTCTAAATCTTTTGTCAATCAAAAGATGCTGCATCAATCAAAACAAATAATAATTTGAAAGCACTATGTCTAATGATTATTCCGAATGCAATAAAAAATTTTGAATCAAGTTGTAATAGTGTATCCTTGATCAATTTCGCCACATAAATCTGAATGACAGTACACCTTGAATAATAAAAATTGATATTAAAATGTCGAAGAAATAAGAAAATGACTTGATAAATTTATTGCACGTAAAGAACGATCTTTCCATTGAATTAGAATCCTATAATTTACCTCAAAGGTGGAAGAAATTATTGAAAAATAATAAAGATTACTTTCGTAATTGAAACTATGTCAGTATATTTCAATAATAAATATTAAATTTCATTAAAAAAATGTAGAACGTTTTTTATTTGTACATCTAATGCGTAAACAGATTGACTTTTAATTACGATGCAAAATCAATTTTTGCTAAAATATTTATAATAATATATACATACATTAATTTTTGTTTCAATTAAAAAAGAATTGTCTCGAGTAGCGCCAAAGCGAATCAATCCTCGCAACAAATTGCCATACCGTGCACGACTTCAATTTAAATCGATAGTTTGCGTCGTGTCATTTTCTTGCGTCAAACATTCGAACTTTTATAGCCACATTAACATTTATCTACGGTGCGAGATACTCGCTTAAAAAATGCATCGCATGTAAGCGTGACACGTTTATCGTATCGAATCTTATCCGGCATCGCCCTTCACTTTTTACGATTCTTCGACTAAGATCAACTCAGGCAAATCTGATTGAATCAGCCACGATATCCTACGAGTTTCCGTTAAAAAGATATCGCAAAATTGTAAGACGTCGCAACTTTTAGTACGCAATTCTATTTTAACGCTTTTCGTAACATTACTTGGTTATAACGTAGATATGAGTCGTATATGATCCATAAAAATACATTTTTTTACATTATTACAAAAAAAATTTTTTAATTAAAAAAATTATGCAATTTTAATATTTTTTATTAACGATAATTAATTGGCATTTGTTAATTAAAATATCGACAAATATGTATATGTACACGGAGAAAATTTGTTTTTAGAATTTATCCTGAAAATATGACAGTCGTGGGACAATATTGTATTTCGAAGAATTTTAATGTAAATCTCTCTCATTTATTAAACTACAATAAAGTATAAAATAAGTTTGATCAATTTTACTGAAGTACTTGATAAAAATCTTTAAAATATTGTATTGTACTACAATTACTATATTTTTAGAATAAATTTTAAAAGAAAATTCTCTCTGTATAATAATTAAATATGTAGCGTTTAAGGAAAAAACTGTCCTTTGATAAGAAATTAGTTTTAAAATTTCAAATAGAAATTGGCTTTACAATTCAACAGAAAATATAGAACACATAATGTGAATAAAAATGATCTAGATTACTTACTAGCAGGTATTTACTCACTTAAAATGTCGTGTAAAAGAGATCGCGCTTTTGCCGGCCGGAAACACTCACCGGCCACAACAATCGCTGTGATATAAAAGAACTCTCGTATAATTGTTCTTGCACCAATCGTCTTTATAATACTAGACGCAAAGGGAGATATCAGAGAATGACGAAACAATTTCTCCGAGCGATGCATAATCGTCGTTGCATTTCGGAGAGCTATTCTGCGGAAATATAAATCGGAACTTGACTATCCAGAGTTCTCTCGAGGATATTAGCCGGTACTGGCTGGTATCGTGGTGTATGGACGGAGCGGCGAGTAGTAGTCTCAGGCGGCTTTGTCCTAAATGAGCGGAGAGAGGGCCTTTTCATTTTGAATGCATCAGAGAATCTGGGTCAATGCTGCATCCCACTCATCCATTGCGCGTTTCCAGCCCCGCGCTTCCCACGAATAATCGGAACAAAGTCACCAACCCTGCAGTTTTCCACGGAACTTTGCGAATTTGTGGGAACGAGCGCGATGCGCCTGAAAAAGCTCACACGATGATTCGGTCCAGCAAGTAGCCTCGTTAAGTTTACAACAGAGTGACGAGATTCTAAAGATTAATGGTTCCCGAGGATTAAGCGAGGCAGAGACGACTTAGTTCTTTTATCTTCTTAAATTTTGCAAACCTTCCGATTCTGTCTTAATTTGCTTCTCAACATTTAAAATATAATTTATTACTTGCAGTAACATAATTTATTCCTTCGGTATACGGATTATTTAGTTGTAAACATGAGAGAATAAATCTCATGTTTAACTCGAGCGACTATCATATTTAGCGAACACAATTCTTTAATGTCAATCTTCGCTAATATACAAACATTTGAAACGAGGATTAGTCCATATATACAAGAACCTACACTTATTTCATTCTTGAATATGATTGTGCTAGAAATGATGATACTTTACAAATATAAAGCAGCATTGTATCGTGGTTTGTTCAAGAATAACAGAGATACTTAGCAATCAACTAATTATTAAAAAGATCTTTGAGCTTTATATTTTTTAATAATGCATGTAAACCTTTTATTCGTATTCTTCAGAATTACAATGAACGTTTCATTCTGAGTATCAACTAAATAAATTTGATTTGCAAGTATTTTAGACTGAAATTAAATGATAAAAATGATTCCAAGAGAAACCTATTTTCTTAAATATTTATTTACAGGGCGAAGAGGATGAACCTCCAGAGGCCTTGAACATGGGCTGGCCAAGCAGTCCAAGAAAAAGGCTAACGTACATTTTAGTCGCGCCAATCTTATTTCCTCTTTGGTTGACGTTACCAGATACGAGAACACCTAGAGGTAATCAATGATCGTCTTTCAATATCTATCATAAAAGTTCAAGCAACCTATAATAAATCATTTTTCACTTAGAACATCTTCCGATTTCTAATGTTATTTTTTTCAATTTTAAAAGTTTATATACACGTAAGATATAAGATATAACTGTCCTTTATTAGTGTGCCTTTAAATCAACTTGTTCATTACTGAATTAATTATTAAATATTACAGTTTTAATTTTATCTGCTTAAATCAATATCGATTTTTCAATATTTCTTTGTCTTACAATATTTTTTTAATCTAAGAGATGCTAGTATTTTATAATGTTTTTGATAAAAATAAAAAAAATATTATTCTCCCTATTAGTGTGACTCTCTAAAGGATGGTGGCTTCATTAATATGTTCTCAATTTATGTGCCTATCCGCATTTAACTCATTTTAAATATATAATTACTAAAACAGATAATAAATATAAATTAATTGTTTAAGTTAATATTGCATGATTAATATTGCATCATTATTTTAATTATACTTACAATTTCAATAGCACACTCAGAGCACAACTCCAATATAGGGCACATAATAGGTACAAGCTTAAAATCTCTAGTGGTATTACTAGACTCATATAAATTCCTCTGAGTTGTGGTATGTATCTTTCGAAAAAATATTTACTATATTTTAACAATTAAAAAATATAATATTATCTTTGGTATCGTATATATTAATAATTTAATATATAATAAAAAAATCTTTTCTTATTTATTTGCTAATTTTCTTTATGACTTACTTAAAGCAAAATTAAATAAAATTAAATTTTCCCGGCGATTTGATCGATGAGAGGTAACCGAATATTTACACTAATACCTATGTTTCATCCGAACTTCTCTTCCAATATTTTCACTGTTGACTGTTCGAATAGTATTATAATATTAGTTTTTTTTTTATACTGACAGATAATCGGTCTTGAATGGAAGGCGAAATGAAAATTGGAGCAGAGACAAAAGCAAGACCTTTTATCAAGTGCAAGAGCGTTTTAGCAGTTTCATTTACATATCTTGCATCTATTGCGAGATCGAAACTCCTTTCTCCTTGAAAAGTCAATTAGGATATTTATGAAACGAACATATAAGTCTTCAAGGACAGCGAATTCAATTTTTTAAAAGTGTTTCAATCAGTAAATACGTCTATAAACTTGCAACGATAACTTAATGTCTTCCGCTCTGCTTTCTGTCTTCATTTCGCGCGTGCAATTGTGCTCTTTATTCTCTCTATTCTTTGATAATAATGAGATGATATTAAGACGTAGGTAATATATCAAAATAATTTCTGCTGCAATTTCATAACTCATTAATAGAAAAATATATATTCACGTGTATATTCCCCATTCGCGCTTGACTGCAATAAATTGCGAACCGCAATAAATATCCGATCTGCGTAAGGAAACATTAAAATTGGCGGGATTCAAGAATCTCACGCGATACCTAGATTTAATATTATATACTTGCTTATATATTGATTATTTGCATATATACCTAATAGCTCACTTTGCTGATAGAAACATGAATGATGATTTATCGTTCGCTAGAAATATTACCTGAAAAGAAGCGATAGAAAAGCATTTCAAATGCGCCATTAATTACGACTGAAAAAAAAACTCTAGGCTACCGTATTTTTTTTCTAACCTGCCAAAAACGTCGAGATCAGATTAAATTCTATCAATCAGCGCGAACATCGCTCGATGTTTTGCTGCCGCCCGGTATCGATCCCGTGGTAATATTAACTCAACTCCAGGAATTCAGGATTTCGAACTATCGATTTCGTCGAGGTGGAAACTTCATCTCATCAACACAAGAGACTAATTAAACGGCACTTATAGTTCACTTGCCGCATGAATTTGCATTTTACTTAGCTTACACTTTTTTATCATTGTTTAACTTGTAATAATATTTGGTCAAAAATTAGATGTAGAAAAAGAAGATAAATTTTTTTGTAATCTCGCGATGAGAAGGTCGATGGCGGGTTATTTGCGGAAAATATTACGATGACACAATTCGGCTATTTAGTGGGACAAGCAGGAACGAACGTCTATATCAGATCCGCGTATGTGCTGCGTATCGATTTAATAATAAATGCTAAGATCAACCCTAAGCAGGACACATTGCTGCTGTTATTCAAACCACCATTTATCACGCGTCTCCTGCATTATCTCAGTCTTATTAATGCGTTTCTATCGCGATATTACACAATACGACGAAAGATGATATTGACACGCTAATTTCGCATTGGGGACTGATTGTTGCATACGTACAAACATATAGATGGCCATACGCACACGGTATTGACTCTATTGTCAGCTAAAATTCCGATATGTCCTTTGAATTTCAGCAATCTCGGCCTTTGATTACAGATCCATTAATATGAATGTTATCACAATCAATTATTATGGGGTTGTACAAACCATAAGGCACATATAAAAAGTTGTGAAACTATTTATTTATTAATATGTATACAAAAAGTTTGCATGTGTGCGAATCAAGATATTTCTTTTTATATAAGTATCAATTTTTTTTCAGTAATTTATGACTTTATGCAACTATTTTTATATCGAATTAAGATTTATTTTTATGGTGTAACTCTTTCCTCGAATAATTAAAACTGCCCAAGATAAACTTAATTAATCTCACTTAAATTAAGCAAATTGATTATCCCATAGGGCATAGCATACCTCCATTTATTCACATTATAAAAATTAATAGAAAAATTTTTTTTCGTTTTATATTTCCATTTTGTTGTATAGACTTATCATAATAAATATAATAATAATTAAGGAAAAATCAATTTTGATAATGTTTGTTACAAAGATTTGTTATATTTAAAGCGAATAATTGTCTACGATATGTATTAGATTTCTCTGAAAATTATTCAAAGCAGAATTCTTTTTCGTTACTCTTGAATTAAATCCTCGAGATTCGGTCATTAGGATTAGATTACGAAACAGATTAGAAATCTCGAACTTCATTTTCGTCGTTGTAGCGTTAAAGCACGTAAATATGGCATTAAAATTTGCGAACTGACGGTTCTTATTGGTTAAAGTTTACCTACCATTGTATCCATACAAGAAAAGACCCAATATTAGAAATTCCTTATTTAACAATTACTTCATAAATACTTTATTTTAAATAATTCACTACGAAAAGTTACATTATCACTAAATTATTAGAATAATTATCGTTTAATTGCATATCTACAATCTATTTTCATTTAAATTCTACATCAATATACATTTGATTTCCAAAAATCTTTTTATCAAAGTATGTATTTTATATCCAAGACAAACTATTTTTCGTATTGCATAGTTTAGTTAACCAATATTTCATAATGATGGTAGAATAGTAATCGACCAAACATATTTAACGTACTTAAATTATCCTCGGAAATTACAGCTGAATGATATATGCGAATGAAACGTTCGCGCCATGTGATCAACTATATAATTCTGAGCGAAAAAATATCCCATGTTGATGCAGACATTGTTGTCTTTACAATTCTGATGGGAAAAATTGTCATAAAGTCATTTTTTATGTTATGTCTTCGATGTTATCCTTCACGACGATGTAGGATCTCCATAGGGAATATGTAACAGATGCCACGCATCCACATGCTTAATTTCAGGGAAAAAGTTCTTCCCGATAACGTTCATTGGCTCGATCTTCTGGATCGCGGCGTACTCGTACCTGATGGTCTGGTGGGCGAATGTCGCCGGCGACACAGTGGCCATACCGCCGGAAGTGATGGGTCTGACGTTTCTCGCAGCTGGCACCAGCATACCGGACCTCATCACAAGCGTCATCGTGGCGCGAAAGGGATACGGCGACATGGCCGTGTCGAGTTCCGTCGGCAGTAACATCTTCGATGTGACCGTTGGGTGAGCATCCAAATCTCTATTGAAATTCCCGCATCACAACATGACGTTGTCTTGCGTATCGCATTTTGTTCCAAAATATTTTAGAAAATTTGATTTGATTTTATTGATCACTTCATTCACACTTTAAACTTATTTAATTTTATATACGGGTTATCCCAAAATTCACGACTTAAAATAACAAGAAAGTTCTCAAAAAATTAAGTAAAAAAATTATTTGTAAATTTTTATTTTAAGCAATAATTTTTTTAGATAATAAAACTATAATTTAAAATAAAAATTTACAAAATACATACAAATAATAAATTTTTTGTTTAATTTTTCAAAAGCTCTCTCTTTTGCTGTAGTATTTTTAATCGCAAATTTTAAGATACCCTGTATACCACTATTTAATATTTAATGAAATTTTTTTATATTGACTATTTCGTGTTAATAGTATTTTATGAATATTCATGTGTGTCATTATTCTTTCTGTTTTATTTTGCATGTATTATTATTTAAAGGTTACAACCTCTTTGTAGTAAAATATTTTTTGATTGGTTACAAAATTGATTTACAAAAATATAAAGTTTTATCTTACTCACAGGAGAAGCTTATCGTTTATGTATTAAACTAAAATATTTTTGAAGTCAAAATAAAAAGAATGACAGGAAATAATATTTTATTAATATGGTGGAATAAAATTTTATAGAAAAACAATAAAAATACTCATAAAAATACACAATTGGCAAAAAGTTATACTATTATATTTTCATTTTAGAGATATCGCACACATATATTTCTTATTGATTCCGTATGTAAATAGATTTATGATATATTTCTCGATATATCATATTATACGACATATATATACAAAACAGGAACTGCTAGATTCGAAATGGATAAGAAAGAGGATACTGGGAAGCAAGGATATGAAACGTCATATTGATTTTCCGATAGAATTACAACTTCGAAGAAAAAGTAAAAAAAGTTTAGTAGAATGTAGATTAGTATTTATAAATTGAATGATGTAATTGAAAGTGCAAGGTAAATGCAAGAATGTACATTCTCGACACGTTTTATATTAACATTTGTTCATAAAGAAAATTATAACTAAGTGAATAGCACGAATAACAAAAGAGGATACAAATTAAAAAGAAACTTTAATTTATTCCAAACTTTAATATTATTCCAATATTGCAATTAAAATATGAACGCTACGATTTTATTCATATATGAATTCAATATTTAATTAGTCTTAATAAAAACAATAGTTTGCAAATTTTTTTGTTGGATAAGTATTATAACTATAATAAGTATTACCTTGTGTAGTCTTAAAATATATAACTAATTCTATAATTAACGATTATGATTAGGCGCGAGGAGATAATAATATTAAATGTCGCACATAATGATTTTTTCAAAACTTTCTTATGCATTAAAAGAGCAAAATAATATAAGATATCAAAATAGTGTGTCGCAACTAAGAAATATAATACACTCTTGAAAGCGTCCATAGCTTTCCCTGTTTTTGAGCTCGAAACCCATTTGCGTTGTACTATATTGAAGGATCGATTATATAACGAAAAGGGCCAGATGCCAAAGAGGTCGGGAAGCCTATTCGGGAAGGGATATCAATCTCAAATTTCAGTAACGTTAATCGTTCGGGCAAAGAGAGGAAAATAGCATGCTGGAATAACATTTAACACGGCAAAAAAAAATTGTTTGGCTTGCACTGCAAATATTTAGATTTTCAATTTATTAACAGTAAAGGATATTTTGTGTTTTTTTTTTATATTTTCTAATCTTTCTTTGACGTTGTTTAAACTGAAAATTAAAAGATTGTTAATTAAATACTCAAATCAATTCTGCCAATTCCCATTTACTTTCGCTTCCGTTCACAATATATGAGAAGCATTTATCGTAATATTGTAATATTCTGCTTACATTGACTAGTGGAAGAAACGATGCTATTGTTATTCATATTGTGCATACAGGAATGTATACGCAGCCAATAGTTGGCACAGTTATACTGAATACAATAGTATTTAGCTTCCTTTAAAATACGTAGTTGCTCTGAAGATGTCTCTTTGATTTGAATCATTAGATATATACAAGTATAGTTTGGATATAATTTATCAACATAGATTTTAATACCGTAAATTTAAACTTTCGAAGTTTAAACTAATTCGAATTAAAAATACTGAATACATTTGAAAACTTCAATCTCTTACATATAATCATTATATTTTTATCTAGAATCATATAAAAAAATTTAACTTTATCAATAATTGTTCTCCAATTTTTTAATTGCATCATTACTTTAATCCTTCTGAAAATTTAGACATGATAACACGTAAAATTGTGTATTTTAAAAAAACTTTTCCATTCCAGCAATTCAGAAAATTCATATCCATTCCTGCAGAACGTCTTACGTAATTTCATAATTTTTCATTATTAGTAAGCGCGCTTGCAACATTTTCTAATATTATTTAATCAAAGTCAACTTTGCTCCTCAGGAAATTGATTGACGGTAGAAGCGATTATAAGATATCAACGCCAATGGAGTTCAATAGACGAATCGAACAATATCGGAATTATTGGGCTCTCCCACACGTGTACGAACACAATAAACTTAATTGTGTAACTTATACGTAATACACATTATATCTATATGTCAATATCTTTACACAAATTTTATATATATCTATACATATATGTATACATATGTATATATATGTATATATTCTTTCTCATAATACACGCTCGGGCGTGCGATACGAATCGGAATTTTGCTGATCGAACGGGGTTAGAAGAGGCGTGCGGAATTGATAGCCGGACTGAGCCCGTCAAGGCATTCTCGCTATTTCACTGTAATCGCATTCGCTAGTCATTCCTCGGAATTATTATATTGTTAGCGCGGGAAATACCGCGAATACTGTTCCAGACACCAAGACTCATTTTCCATGGAAGGTTCTTGAGAATCCTACTCGCAGAATCTCGATTCGTTTTATTACTAAAACCACAAGGTCCTAAAAAAATATTCTTATCTAATAAAAAAACGCGCAATTATTTCGTCGAGGTTGCATCTTGCTTCCATGTCGCATTGCGTGAGTCCGAGCTTTGGACAAGTGCCAGAGTTCATTAATTTTCAAGTTCATTAATTCGATATCTCGTATGATTTGCATATTTTGTTTATGTTAAAGATCTTGCTAGAGATAATGTAGATTTCGATTTCCGAAATAATGTTATTGACAAGAATCAAATGTAAGAATAAAATTGTTTGGGAATTATTTCAAAACTTAGATTAAACGATTTTTAATACAAAAGGCAAAAATATTAGCGACAATAATTATTGCTAGTAAGAATTAATTATTTTTCTTTATTTCGTCTTCATGACTAATAAGATTCAATATTTTGAAGCTAATCGCGCATCCCTTTGTGACACTTGATTTCCTGACAATCGCACACGAGATGAAATATCGAATCGTTCTCGTTGATGATCAATCATATAAGCCACGCATCCACTGACTGATTGCCAACTGGCAGACTGCCTGAAAGGGAAGCGGAGAAATATTTCTTCGCATTTGTGTGCGCTGCGTTTATGATTGTACATCAAACGATATATATCCAAGGCACGTCGACAGCATTGTTACAGACGAATATGAATTATAGATACTATACTTCAAATAATATAGAACACGCAACAATCTACACATGCATATGTAGGTACATCTGTACTTAATCGATACAGTGGACGATCCGGTCGCACGTGTAATCATAAAACCGTAATATTCTAATAGAGTTTATAATGCGAGAGATGTACTCCAGAACATTTTATCGAGAGCACGTGTTACATTTCGCAACTTTATCTCGTAAACTATTTCGAATTGAACATGTACTCATATAAACTTTTGTCTTCATCGAATATCACTTTTCTCATCATTAATTATCTTTTTCCCCTGAATCATCCTCCTGTGCTTGAGATATATATTAGATCATAAAAATATTAATTTAGGAATTGTAAGTTGGCAAATTTAATATGACAAATAGTGAAAGATTTAAATAAAAACTTTTCAAAATCAGTACAGTGAGTGCAAAAAGTATTTGTATAGAGGAAATTTTTATAAAAAAAAAGGTTTTATTTATAGAAGATAAACATTAATTAGCAATTTTGTACAATGAATTGTTGTGTACTAATATAAATAAAAGAACTTTGTATGTTCCTGATTTTACAAGTTAAATTTCTCTATAAATATTTATTGTTCGTCCAAATAATATCTATAATTTTTCATTTTCGTTTATTTTTAAAATAATATATTTTAATAATTACACATCTTTTTAGATAAAATTATTTTGAGAAATGTGCAGTCTATTTTTTGTTAAATTGGTAATGTTTACTTTTTAAAAATAAGATTTTTTAGAAAGTTATATTCCCCATATATATTTTTTGCTATCATCGATAACCAAAATATTAATTACTAATAATTTTCTATGTTACTGTAAATGTTACAGATCTTTTATTAGAATATACTTGATATTCTTGACATTCTAAAAATTACATACTTAATTTCTGTAGGAGATAATGATAAAAGAATGAGAAAACATAAACGATCAGAATAGTTGTTTAATCATAATCATATCTGTCAATCGGGCAATGAAAATAGGCTCGATTTGCTTTGATTATGTCCACAGGCTTCCGGTTCCATGGCTCCTATACGGTTTAATCTACGGGAAACCCGTGGAGGTGAACTCAGTGGGCATGGTGTGCAGCATAGCGATACTGTTCTGCATGCTGCTGTTCGTGATCATGAGCATCGCCTGCTTCAGATGGAAAATGAACAGGGGCCTCGGCTTCACGATGTTCATCCTCTATTTCGTCTTCGTCGCCGTCTCGCTGATGTTCGAGTACGAGATACTAGTCTGTCCGGTGTAGGGCAGCCAGGACAGCGCAACCGCGACAGCAGAGGTATTAAAAACTCCTCCGGAGAAAGGATACGTCTGCGAAACGGACGCACACTTACGGGTCTCGTCATCATCATCGTCATCGTCGTCGGCGAGTCTTGGCCGACGAGAAAACTCTTCCCCGCGGTCGCCGCTTCGAGCCGAGGAGGAAACCGCGCCAGTCATTACCTTCCGCGCGCGCGTGAATGGGATTTGACATTACGAACGGCAATAGTAGCACCATCTCACACCGCCACTATCACCGATCATCGAGTCTCACAGCAATTTCGCGTACCAGATTACGAAGCGTTTTGCTCTAGTCGCGAGAGGTGTACATATTGTATAAAAATCTTGAAATACCTGAAACGAAATACTCGTCTTGTTAAGAATTAACCGAGCGCATCACTCCGTTCGAGTGCGCTACTTTATTGTTTAAGCATGGCGAGCGCGTTAGCCGATCGTGCCAAGGACCAAACTATAAGTTTATTTAATCCGTGGAATGATTTTTTAGCGTAAACTTTTAAGACTCCCTGGTCTTCTTCTTTTTCTTCTTCATTTTTTCTTCATTATCATCTTCTAAATTATTATTCACTACTTCTTAATTATTATTCATTAAGCGACACTGTACGTGAAACAAATTGATCACAGTACTGTTATTAATTCACTTGAAATTATTACAATAAAGATTTACAGAACGCTATCTTATATTCAACAATATTCTGTAAGACTATTTCTAATTATAATCATGGATATCGTTAGATATTACTTGATTTGTGCATTTATCGAAACATCACGTTTTTCGAGTATATCTATAATAGCAATAATGTTAGACTTAAAACGCGATGTTACCAATAGTGTACAAAATGTTACCGTAGGTCTTCTTCTCGTTTTGACTCCTTGGCACGCTCACGTCCGAATATTATACATAACGTTATCCTTGGAAGAAGTGACCTGACCGCTCGCCGATTTTTCTCTAAAGCAGAAATTCTCTTCGCCTTTAATATCATAGAATAGCGTTATAACTTCTCTCACTCTGTTGTACTCACGGAATCCAATCTGCGGTGCGGGGTTCGGCGTTCCATTCTGACGACAAAACGGCGCTCATGTATCTCAAGTGCCGTATGTACGCCAGGTGCACATTTCAGGCAAGTTATATAATTTTATATATTTTCGTTAATCAAAGTTACTTACAGTATAATATGTATCACAATATGCATTACGTATTATGTAAAAAATTTTTGCCATAAACACAAAAAATGCTTCAGTGCTTTTTTTGCGTTTCATATTTTCAATATTTAACAATCATTTTGAAAAATTAAAATGAGAGCATGTTTGATTGTTTAATAAAATAACGTTCTATATTACTTTATTAAATGTTCTACATTCATGATATTACGTGAATAGCTTGATCAAAAAGTTTTCAAATATTGATTTATTAAATTAATGTGATTCAAATACTGGCACTCACGTCTCAAATGAAATGACTGATCGTCGCACTGGATTTTCAGCATACGATCGGAACGGATGTTGTTGTTGATACGTGAATAAGATAGAATAAAGCGAAAAAATTATATTAATCGGAAATGCGTTGATCTGTTTGTTATTATATTTCCTTTGCATTTATTTTGATAAATCGTTGGCAGATTCGCAGGAAAACGCGGGAAACGAACTGGTTTATTTGAATCAAAAGAAAATGCGTTCATTGTTGCATAGCGTTAAAATTTCATAAAAGGTAATCACTTGTTTATATCAATTATTCATTTTGAAAAAAAGCGCGTTTCCGACCAATTAAGCTTCCATCTTTAAATGTTATTACATTTAGGAAATTTATTACATGTTTTTACGAAAAATTGTGTATAGTAGAACCTGGGCAAATTTTTTATTGCTGATCAGTGTAAAGTTAAGTCACGAATACAAAGAAATATCTCGTTCGCGTAAGACATTTAGATCCGATTCCGAACGTGTTTTCTCTTAAATACAATGATTATTACTATCGTAACTATAATCTGTAAGCGACATGCAAAAAACAGACTTTCTTAAGCGCATATAGAAAATTATTGCAAATAATATATTCGAATTGGTGCATCATGCAAAGATTCTAAAGGATCACTTAAGGGTATACTCGTGTCGCTTGCTGATACATCTTATGCGCGATCGAATCCTCGTGCGATATTTTCTCTACATAGGACAAGAGTATCGAGATACACTGCAGATATTTGCACGTGAAATGTAACATTATGATACGCTCTTACAAAGCGGAAGACAAATGCCGACATTGAACAAATTAGACATTGCACTTTCCGTGATGTTCCACGTCAGCTTGATACTCTCTGCAGTTATTTTTTTGCTAACTTCTTTCAAATTTTCGATATTGCACTATGACACTCTACTAAGATACTGTTAGAAAATATGATTATTATTATGGTTATTATATGTACACAGTGAAGATAAACGGGTAATAGAATGAACAAGTTCATATAGGTGTGTATGTGTGTGAGATTGGGAGAGAGACAGAGAAAGGGAACGAGAAAATGAGAGAGAACGATAGAATTAAAAAGAAAAGAAGAGAGGAAGGAATATAGGAACATGTATAGTCGAGGCATGAAGTCGGACGACTTTTAATCCAGATTACAGAATCCATGTTGTATAAAGCGTTTGTAACGAATACGTTTTAAGGATATAGAGGTAATAGTTATAATATCGATTATATTACATAATATCGATTATATTACATATACGAGATGAACAAAATGTTATTATATATATCTACAGTTTGAGAAAGATACAACCAAAGAAACAATATTACATTTTCGGTAGTCTGAACGCCTAAAAGCGGCCTAGCTTTTTATTAAGCCTACAGCTAATGCAAAAATTGATCCGCGAAGAATATAAAGAAGAAAAAGACCATAATAAAAATACCGTCTACGTTAATCGGTAGAGCGAATTTTAGATTATCAAAATTACACGTATATATACATATTAGAGAGAGAGAGAGAGAGAGAGAGAGAGAGAAAGTGAGAGAGAAAGAAAGAGAGTATGTGTGTACGCGTCTATGTGTGTCTTTATGTATAATATATGTGAAAATTCGATGAAACATGAAAATACATTAATTATATATTATATTAAATGTTATATTTGTTGCATTTTGTATAATCTCGATATTAGAAGCAAGGAGAATGGTTTTTCCATCTCGCAGTTTATGTTCCAGCATTTACGTCATACATAGCCCGCGTGTGTGATAAGTAATTATTACGTTTAGCCTTCCGACGTCTATCTGTCTGATCTCCCAAATCATAAATGTGCAATCCGGTTCGTGCGTTCGATTATTCAAAAAATTTCGTAGTCTCTCTCTCTCTCTCTCTCTCTCTCTCTCTCTCTCTCTCTCTCTCTCTCTCTCTCTCTCTCTTTCTTTCTTTCTCTCTTCGCGATGCTTGGATCCCTCATGCGACGAAAAGCATCGCGAAACTTATGCGTCCAGAAACAGAAAAGACCCAGAGACTATGATTCCACCAGGGAGAGACTAAAATTGACCGATGATACGTGAAGTTAGTTAACGATATCAGATATCAAAAAATTAAGGAAAAATATCACAATCATGAAAGATCGTGATATCAACATCTTTCACATGTGGCGAAGTTCCGCCATGATTTATTTTCTTGTACGCGACACATAATTATGAGCGATTATGAACGACAAAGAATGGTTTAACTACAACGTTAAAACTTTAAAGAGATAATGCAGATAATGTGCAGCTACTAACAGAATGTAAACCATTATGATTACGAAAATAAACAATGGCAGTAATCTTAGGAACAATGCGGTCTTCTCGAATTACCACTACTTGAGATAACGATGCCTCTTTTTATGAGCTCTTAACATTACGCTAAGGCAATGCATTTTGTCATCATGGCAATCCTCTCTCTGCTGATTAATTTAAAAAAAAAAAAGAAAGCTTATCATTTTTATTTTTATGAAATTTCATTTTCCAAATAATGTAATTATTTTGAAATTTTCGCTTAAGTGATTGTACACAATTTTACATCAAATTTCCAATCAATGAATAAACTATAACTTGGAAGTATTGTAAATGACAAAAAGAGTACCGTTTTTAAAACGCAAAAGTTAAGTTACTCTAAGTAATAAAAACAAATTTTGAAAACGCAATCAGATTTTGTGAATGGAAATCATAATAGATCAGAGCGAACGAATAAACTTTAACGCAGCAATCTGACAAAAAATCGAACGTGTTAACTTGTGGGAGACCGCCCTCGGATTTAGCAACGATCGCCAGTGGAAAACGACGTTAGGTTTCTTCGTGACGTTGAACATAAACGGGGAAATTTGTAACGAGGAAACGTTAGAGAATGCAGTACCGAGACGTTTTACGCCGTAGTGTGCGAGGCACGAAAAGGATTAGTCTGTCAGTCGGGCGAAACAACGAAGCGGATTAGCGGTGAATCGCGTGATAAGTCGAAGGTCGGGTCGAAGGGCTCGAAGCACAGCAGTGTTCGTGTAATTTATGCTTTGTAATATGATATACCATAGGACAAACATCATCGACATTGGTAAAGCGGGACAGCTCATTTTAGTTTCGAGTATCGAGCATTTCGATTCGAGAGATCAATCAATTTAAATGATACGCGTGTAAAAAAATGACTTGCTTGGCAATTAGCTTATTCAAAAAAGACAAAACGAAGAAGTTTCGAATGTACGTGGAATGCCGTTGACTGCCATACTTTGGCGACTCTGAGGATTGGTTGCGTATGAAATATCTACTATATTAATACATCAGGGTAATCAATTGATCTCTAATTCTTACTTCTAATTCAATTCTTTTGTCGAATTGTCAGATATATGCACATATATTCGCATAGAGCATGAAGATAGTGAAAGAGAGAGAATCCAAATAGAACAACAGATCATGAATAATGACGTTAAAATAAATTGTAATTGATCGAAAAGTGATTTTCAATAAATCATTTTGGAATAATTTTGACGCCATGTTGATGATGATTTTTATTCGACTTTGGAAAAAAGAGAGACAGCAAAAGAGAAAGGTAGGGAGAGAGAAATAGACCTCATTTCTCTCACATGCATGCACGCACATACACGTCTAAACTTTACGTTCGAGACATACGCGACGAAATGAGATGTGTTTGTGAAAGATTAAAATTATTCCGGTTTGTCTAAAAAGTTTGTTAAAATGCAACGCATAAATAAAACTCTTCGTTATTACGTGGGATTCACAGCAAAGAACGAGAGTACGGAAACAAGCTCCCATCGATTAGTGTATTCAACCCGAAACAGTATAATCAGTAACCGATAGAGACCTTTATTCTTAATTAAGAGCTTTCTGGAAATACAATCTTCTTTTTATATTTACAAACGCTTCATTTCCAAACGTGGCTTTCAAAACTTTTATTCGCGTAGTAAAAAAATCTTATTGTTATAAAATATACACGTACATATATATAGAATTCGTTAAATTCTTTTATATTTTTATGTGATTGCAATACGTTGTACTGTTTAGAGTTGATGGTATAGCTGTTATCTTACGAATACGGAATCCATCGTGCGCTCATAAGGACGCTCCAAACTAGATTTTAAGCGACGTTAAGGATTTAGTTGATTTCATACTTTATAACGTAGCTTTCGAGAAACATAGAGGAATTTTTACATCGTGACAAGATCGGTAGATTAGAGCCGGGCACGCGACGACGATCGAAACGATCCTTCAAATTTCGGCGAGTTGTTGCAAAAGCCGAGAGTGATGAATTCTCAGCATCAATCGATCATGTTATATTAAGAGTATTAATAGTACTCTTTCGGCCCGATGGCACGATATATGTATAATCGTTATACTCGTATTATGATGTACTCGTGGATATAAAATAACGTGGGATATTAAAAAAAAAGGGACACAAAACGCACGCTGTGAAGGACCGAACGCTTCGAATATTTTCTTGGCATTGACAAAGCGCGAACGCACATATCAAAGAGAGAAAAATGTTGAATATATGACAACTGATTACTTAGTAGTATTATTAGCGACTTAAGTCTCGTAAGATAATTAGATGAGGCTATACGAGCGTTATAAAAGTTTCTATATAATTACAGATTATATAAATATGTATTATATTGTTCGCGAATGACGTGAACTGGATCGTCGGCCGATTATTGTGTTTACATGTATAGGAACGACGAGATGCTGATTCAGGGCGATCAGCGTGTTTGGGCGTAACGTAAAATTTGAGAATATCTCGTAATTTTTTCTCGTGCTTTTCTTTTGATATATATTTCATTATATCGCCCATCTTAAAGCGTCGCATACATATAGGGTTGTACCCCCGTCCATCATCGCAGTAATAGATTTACGGGATACGACGTAGTTAAATCACGTCTTACGAGATTAATTAGATCACCGCAGAGTGCTAGAAAGACGACAGACGCGAAATGAGGAGAGAAATATAAATATATACATACACACATATACATATAAATATATAAATACGCAATATATATATAAATATGTAAAGTATCTAACGTTGTATACATTCAAGTCGACGATTCCAAGATGGGACGTTTTTATTACGATAACAATTTTGTTTCTTGATATTCGTAAGATACGTCTTCGACGCGTTACTTAGATCGGGGCCGAGGTATAATCGATCGTTTTATGCGTGACGAGCGTACAACGATATTTGGACGATAGGACAGTTAAATTCGCTGCTCGGGCGATTTATGCAAAGATGAAAAAAAAATCATATTCCCGACTGAGAGACAAGGACCGAACACAAGCGTATCAACGACCACGTTCCAAAGTTCGCGCGGGACAAATCTCAGCTTAAAATTAGAGATCGCGTAACTGAATGCGAGTTAATGTAAACGGAACTAAACGCCTGCATAAAGAAAACATAAGTCATAATGAATAAAAAAAAGCATCTTTAAAAAAAAAAACAAGAAAGATCGAAAGAAACGTGCTAATGTTTTAAAAGGGTAGCCGTGGGGTCAGCGTCGAGAGTTGAGGCCGCTTCGTCGCTCGTGCGTCGAATGCTCGAACATAACGATTTCGCTTGACACTTCGGGATCGAGAACGGGATCCGATCTCGATGATTCGAATGATCCAACGCCTTTCTGCGCCTCGCGGAAGATAAACGCGAATGGTTGCGGACCGGCTTACGGCGCTGGCGCCAACGAGCACGACACCGCGTGTGCAATAAAAAACCGAAATATATAACAATATTAATATCATTATATACAACATTTTTACGACATATATTATGGATACGAAAGTAGGACAAGTGGCAAAAAAAAAAGAGATCAGAAGTTTTAGGATAACAATTACTTGTTGTTGTCTACCATAGCGTCGTAGCGTAAGTAGGGCACTAGTCGTAGCTTGTTTCGAGGGATGCGTGTGAAATATGCATGCGAGAGATTGGCAGCTCGAGAGATTACTCGAAAGAAAGAGCGAGAAAGAGAGAGAGAGAGAGAGAGAGAGAGAGAGAGAAGGGGAAAGAAAGAGAGAGAACATGGTACCGTGCGAATCCGAAGAGACGAACGAATGCATAAACGACGGAGTGATCGATTACATATAAAAATTATCATCTAATTGCAAATATATATATATTCACATATATATGTTCTGTACATATATCTATGTGTATATATATACATATACTCGAAGAAGCTAGTTACTTAACGAAAGGAAAAAAAATCAATGATTGATATATTATATACAGAATCTATATATATATATACATATATATATATATACATATATATACATATATATATATATATATATATATACTTTTAAACGTGTGCCTATGTGCGCACGTGCGTACGTGCGCGTGCGTGCGCGTACGCGCGGACACTGCATCTCCTCCAACGCACCTCCTCGCAATCCCCGATCTCGTCCTTCTCCCTCTCCTCCTTCTTCTCCTCTTCCTCCTCCTTTTACGCAGCCATCCATCTCTTGCCGCGAGCCCAACTCGTTACACGCACTTGCGCACATATCCATTACGCATTACCGTAGCCATGTTGTGTAGGGATGTCTTAAACGAGTAAGCTACGATTTCTCATGTTACATGTTATGCGAAAAAAAATGCAAAAAAAAAATAGAAGAACGCGAGCGGAAAAAGGAAAATTTTTTGCGAAACGACGAACAATTCTTCCGGTCAGTTGCAGGATCGTTTGAAGTTTGAGGTAAACACTGAAATACGCGCGGGTGTCTAAATAAACAAACGGGACAACGAGAGGAATGATATAAAATAAATAAATAACAAGAACAAAAAAAAACGCGCGAACTCTGTGCATACTTGACGCTATGTGCGATTAAGTCGAATTTTATTCGCCGATTGCGACGCTTTCTCACGATATATTTTCACGATTCAATTCGATTTTCCTTTTTTTACTTTTTTTTTCGCGAGAAGCACCACTGCAGTGACGGAACGACTCTTGTTGTAAATCGTTGATATTCGAATTGCTACGAATTGATAAAAGACTCCGTATAATCCAATTTCGAGAATGAAAGCATGAGAAGGAAAAAATGTCCGTTTAACGCATCGTGGACAAGTAAAGTTTTTAAGTTAATAATTGTGAAATAATTGCGTGTCTCAAAAAATTGGATTTAATCAACAGAATAATTAATTTCTTACATATTAATTGTTAATTTCTTATACGATGATAATTTATCTTTTTGAATTTTTAAATTTGTAAGGTATTGTAAGATACCTTGAACTTTTTTACAATAATATGGCAACAATCGCGATGTGGCAAGTTTATCCAAATTTTTTTTGTACGTCCATTTAATTATTTTATGCTTTGCATTGGTTGTATAAATCATTTTATGTGAGTGAAACTTTATAACAGTTACTAAGTATAAAGTTTATATTAATGTGAAATATTATACACGATAAACGCAATTCTGTACCTCAATGCGTTAAAACGGTAATGTCGAAATGATGTCTGTTTAAAACTTGTTCCATTTTGCTCGTAATGAGAATTACGCTATTCGCAAGTAATGCTCTTTAGCAGTGTACGGCGTACAGTTTGTCGCGGATTCGCATCACTCTTTGCATGCTAACCGCTCATTCCTTCACTTTTGCCATTTGGCAACGCGTTCCTACGGAATCTTGCGGTAGAACAGAATTTCACTTACTTCACATGCCGCTTTCCAAAAGAATATCACGTGTCTTCTTGGCGCGCGACTCCTTTCAAGCGCCATGACAGTAAGTGGCCTCGAATGGCGAGTACTTCTTGCATGATTAAATCTGATTCTCACGGAGGCGCGCCTCCGTTTATATCACACTTTACCTGGATTTAATGTCACATATCGTGCAACAAAAAGTACGTGAAAAGCGAGGAAAAATAAACTGCGTTATACGATAACTCGAGAGTATAAAACATATAGGCATTTATTTAGAATACTTGTCGAGAGAAGAATTTCCACTATGTATTAATTGCGTAAACTTAAATAGCCAGTTACCGATTGTTAAAAGAGACGAGCAACGTTGCGGTAGCGATGTAACTTAAAATCATGCAAACGATTCTTCAAAGTTCCGAAAAAAAGAAGCTCTCGCTTTAAGCGCCGAATATAGCCGGCGTGTTTTGACTCTTCAACACGTCACTTTGATTCGCGAGTATTTGTTGATACACAGTCGACAATAATCAAGTAACAAGTTTACATTCTATATCTCTACTCCATATTAATTATTAAATAAACTCAACAAAAGCAAAGATTAAGAAAATGTTAATGAACGATCGAGCTCTATACTTGTATCTCGCTCGAATTTATTATAGACATATCGCGATTACACACTTGCGGTATAGATTTCCTGTTCCCGCAATAATCTTAATGGAAATAAAGTATCGTTTCTACGTTATAGCTTGTTCTTCAGTTTTAACGCGACAATTCGAACACATCGATGAGATACGCTTAGATTCGGTAATTAGATTTGATAATTCGACAGTATTTACGTTAAGACGGAATAATATTTTATGAAGCCCTCTTAAGAGAGAAATGAATTGTGATCATCCGAGAGTTAAAGCTGTCAATATTCTATAAAGTCAGTGCGATTATCGCTCTCTCTCTCACCCCGACTTTGTTGGCAAATTTCACTTTTACTCTGTTAAAATTATTCTTATCGCTGTTGTTGTTGTTGCTATTATTATTATTATGGTTACACAAATAAAAAAAAAAGTGACTTCAGAGTTATGAGGATTAAAGTACTAACTACTAAACGCGTTTGAGGATTAAAGTACTTACTACTTCTCAGCTGCTTGAAAGCAAGTGAGCATTATGCGATGACGTTCTAATTAAGGCAGATGTATATGAAGCCGTTGGGCAACAGAGAACGCTGATTCTTTTAATTACATCTCGACATACTCTCGTATCTCTATAGTTATTTATCTAATTACAATTTGCAAATTAGATCGCAGGGATACGTAAAAATATCGCAATGGACTCACATCAAGCGCTCTATTTTCTCCATACCATGTTACGAATCGTTATGCTGCAATCGTGGTTACGTTATTAATACGCGTATCCACCAGCACGTTAATTACTCGAGGTGATTAAAGGTTCGATCTCAAGCAGAATAACAAGTCACAATGAATGGCGTTAAAATGACTCGTAAGGCATGAATGATTGAAAGGCGACTTTTAGTAATTATTTTGGAATTGTTTTGACATCACATTTTAATATTATGACTTGCGTTCTGCTTGAGATAGTATCGGACGATGCTCTGCGAATCGATGTGAACAAATCGGAGCATCTTTTCGAGTGTTCGAGAGCCCCGAAGATTCTCGCACGTGTCTTGTTATGCGAGAATGAGAGAGAGGAATAAGAGCGCTCCCTTCCATCGCCATTGTACATACATATGATATATTAATGCATATTATATTGTCATATATAGGACACGCAAGAGCGGGCAAGAAATACGGATATATGTTATTGTTATTAACGAAATTAAGCGCGATAAGTGAGAAGTATGTATCTCGTTGCGTTTCAAATGCCTGCGGGACAGGATCGTTAAACGACGAATATTGTCGACAGTTTCATTTTTCTTCGAGCAACTTCCATCGCTCCCTTTACCAATTACTTGACTGTCCAGGATGTAAACTGTTTCCTAGGAGGTGGACTCTTTCTACTTCTCCGTTCCATTTTATTTTAAGTTCCGTGCACCGACAGCGAATTTTACCTTTAAGTCTGTCTCTCGTTTAGGAAATCGGACATGACACCTCGAGACAGCGGCGTTCATCATTCAGTCACGGTCGCCCCGCCGTGTTCAATAAATATGAATATACAGCACAAAATCGATCGCTACGCGACGATCCATGCGAGGCAGCTCCAACTCTTGAGCGGTATCTCTCCGATTATCGAGGAGATATTTCTAATGTTCCGTACGCAAAGACATGTATGTATATGTAGATGTATACGCGAGAAACTTCGCGGACGGCGATGATGTTGCATACGCATTTAAAACTCTTCTTATAGCGTTTATTACTTAGTAGATAAGACTAGAGCGACATAGGGAAAAAACACGAGCGTATTATGTGTCTTACCGAGATGTAAATTTTTATAAGGTTTCAAAACGTAACGGCGGAGGTTGTAGGCCGCAGCTGTAAAATAAAATCCCCGATTCAGAAGAGCGATACAACTTAATAGTTAGCCGCTGCCTCGAGTCTCGGAAGGGACAAGTATCTTTGTGACAAGAACAGATTAGTATGCGACCGTCGAGCGTAAAAAGAACTGGCCGTAATTGCCAGGACAACGATGATCGAGGACGAGAGAGGGTGAATATGCGCAATCTTCCTTATAACCAATGTAATACTGGCCAATTTAATACTGAAAATTACTTATTTTGAATATTAAAAACATTAAAAGACAACAGCTTATTGTTCAAAATAAGTAAATAGTCATTACTTTTCAGTATTAAATTTCTGTAAGGAATTTCAGACGTGTACGCGACTGATGGACGGATAGACTCTCTCCTGACCGCCATTGTCTCTCTCTCTCTCTCTCTCTCTCTTTCTCGCTTTACTTTCGATCAGCGGAGTTCTCGCGAGACAGGCACAGTAGCGAAATAATGCGGGACATACGATCGCTGGTTTGTCGATTATTATCGCAAATATAACGCATTATTCCGTACCAAGTACGGCTAGAGCTATCTCGAATAATTTATCATAGGATTAGAAGGAAGAAAAAGAATAAAAAAAAATAATAATAAAGAGTCAACTGTAACGCGAGTAACGGAGCACGAACGAAGAAAGGCCTGCATCGACGACCATCTGACACCCTTCACACTTGCCGACCCACACCCTCGTCCTCCCATCCCATTCCGATCTTATATTTCCTCCCTTTCCTCCTGAGCACATACCCTATCCTTGTATCCTCAAGAACAAAACAAACCAACATATTGTAATCTATTGTAGATTGTTGTAGATAAATTATACGGTTTGACCGTACATTGTT